GTTCCCCGAGAAATTCCCCAAGTTCCAAAACCCCATCTACGAGCTTAATAGTGACATCACCTGCACGGCATAATCGCGGCCAGAAGCTCCACCTCAGCCCTGATAAAAGCCCAACACTTAATGCTTACATATCTGCCCCACCCCCGAAGAAATCCCCCCCACTTCGCAGTTCGAGACCTCGCCAACCGGTGTCATCGGCGACAACTTCAGCGTCGCGTGCAAGAGTAGTAGATAGGATTTCCAGTCTACAAAACCAATCTAATGCGTCCACTAGGGATTCCAAACCTTCAAGGACAAAATCAAGACGGCTACCGGAACTAGGGAATGTTGATTTTGCTGCCCGTCGGCAGAAAATCCAACAGGCATTTAATAAAACAGTGGAAGAAAATGCGAGAAAGGAAGAACGTGCAGTTCTGCGTCGTCAGACGGTTAAAGAGAAGGCCGCAAGAGATGTAGGTGCGGCCTTGACACTTGCGCCCGCCACGGCCGCCGCGCCTGGAGAACAACAACAAAAGAAGCCACATGCAAATGAAACGAACGATCCACTGCCTGCTACTCCAATTGAAACCCGATCAGACGCTCCTGACGTTGGAGATGATCAAGAGGCATTCGTTACACCAATTGAAGGACGCTCCCCGGACCTGACCAACATGGTTGCAGAACATCTCGAAACGGGTCGCGGTGTGACATTAGATGCGGATAACAACAGTTACTCGGCTACGGAACAAGATGAGAAGTCAATCAGCCAATTAGATATTCCCAGAAGCCAAACACCCTGTTCTGATGCTCCCGCCTCTGCGGTGACAGTGGGTACCGACATCACCACGTTTGATCAGGAGCCACAAACAGATTTTCCCCAACCAACCTCTCAGATTCATCGAACAGTACTCAGTCAAATCATGCAAATGAGAGAATCCAGCCCCAGCAGTTCCTCGTCTTCCGACTCCTTCTCTGAAAGGAACGACAAAGAGTCAATCCAAATCATGCTTCGGCGAAGTCACTACTTTGACGAATCACAGTACAACAGCAGTGACAACCTAGAAACTTGCGAGACCGCAGATGATTCCAGGAGCGATGTGGACCGTCGTCGATGGAGCATGAGTTCTTGGAGCTCCTCTCTTCATGATCGACAGTTCATGGACGGGCCGCTGGGGCGGATCACGGAAAACCCACCTGAGACTGATGCTCATCCCTCCATGCCTATAGGCGAAATTAGTCAAACTCTCCAACTCCCAATACCTCGTGCTGATTCTCCCACAACTGGAGAAATTGCAATTCAGCGCGATGCTCGCGATGTTCCGAGCGAACCCGCTGCCCATAATGTTCGGTATACAACGCATATGATGCAGCAGTATCCCGATCTAGCCAAGCAAGGTGGTTGGAACTCGAAACGCGTAACCCAACTCTTCCTTCAAGAGCTAGGGTTCGAGGGATCACATTTGCTAAAATCCGATTTTGGGATCGCTGCGCGGGTCCAAACAAGTCGTCCTTCTTCTCGGGGCGATGATTCCCACAAGAACGATGGCCTGAGTGAAGATCCTATTATAGTACCTGAGTCCATACAAGTTCCAAGGTCGGAGTACGTACAACACCGGGCGAGCTTGAGCTTTAGAGAAGACTGGGAGAAGGCTTCTCCATCCGTTGTGGATTGGATGCACCTTGCGGCATTAGAAGAAGGCTCAGAAAACTCACCCAACATTGTTTGTGAGGGAGCAGAAACCCCGAGGCTCGTTACTACAGGCTCAAATTTTCCAACCGAAGAAAAATCCGTGGAAGGCCTAGGCCTTTCCATTCATGTTCAGTCTCCTCAGGACGACGACTCACCTACCATCCCTCCGCCCCCATTACCTAGCCATCCTCCTCCACCTATTCCCATTTCTTCGAGCTCCCTCTCCGAGAAACTTCCCGAACCAACGTTACATCCACCTGTACAATCATCTCCAAGTATATACTCGAATAATCCGCCCTCCACCATCCCGCCCAGCATCCCACGGATCCCACCAATAGACCATATACCAAGGGTACGAAATAGCGAAGATTCATCTCTGCATCAGGCCTCTGTCGTACCAATCCCACAAACACTGGCATCGTCGGCTACATCACAAACACACTCAAGCGCCGGTCAACCTATTGTTGGAGTCCCGGCGGAGAAATCTTCTCCTTCCCCAGAAGAGCGCCGCCTCAAAAAGCGAAAGCATGTCATCAAGGAGCTAGTGGATACAGAGCACACTTTCGGTCAGGACATGACAGTCGTTGTCGATATTTACAAGGGAACATCCAGTTCATGTTTGGACTTGTCTCAGGACGACGTCAAAACATTGTTTGGTAATTCCGACCAGGTTGTGCAGTTTTCAATGGACTTTCAGGATTCTCTGAAACGCGCTGCAAAGAGTGTTTATGTATTACCACAGTCCCAGCGATGGAAGAGCAAGCGTGGCCATAGATCTACCCAGATGAACGGTTCCACGACAGATATCCCATCCAATCCATCCTCTGAAGCTGCAGATGATGAAAAAGACAGACAAACTTCGATTGGCCAGGTTTTCGTTGAGCATATCGAACGGATGGAGAAAGTATACTCTGAATACCTGCGGAATCATGATGCGGCTAACAGAACTCTTGAGGTCCTTATGCGTAAGAGTAATGTTAATATATGGCTGAAGGAATGCCGGGACTGGGCCGTGGATCTGACATCAGCTTGGAACTTGGATTCCTTACTTGTGAAGCCTGTTCAGCGTATTGTCAAGTACCCACTATTGCTAACAGAGCTGCTCAGCGCGACTCCCCCAGACCACCCAGACCATTCTGCCTTGACAAATGCACTGCGCGAAACAACCAGCATATCTGTAAGGATCAATGACATGAAGAAACGGGCCGATGTGGTAGGCCAGATCGTCAGCGGTCGAAAACGCAAAGAATCCGATGTCCGGTCAGGACTTTCGAAAGCATTCGGGCGGCGCACAGAGAAAATTAAGGCCCAAGTCGGCATCACAGATGTATTTGAAGATAAGGAATTTTCTATACTCTCTTCCCGGTTTAGTGACAATTTCTTCCAGCTCCAATTGATCATGCGGGACGTGGAACTCTATACCACCGAGGTTCAAACTTCCATAAAAAAGTTTCATGATTATATCCTCGCGATCGAGGCATATATTAGTGTTGCGCCCTCGAATTATCCTGAGTTGGAAAGCAAATGGTGTCGGTTTAGGCTTGCTGTCAAAGACGTTCTGACTGTGGCGCTTGTTGATCATGTAAGATATTACGCCTCTCAGCCTTGCTTGATTAACGGGTTGAAACTAATTTCTTTTTCTTTTTACCTAGGTTTCTGCTGTCAGGAAAAACGTTATTCTCCCAATGGTCACGCTCCTAAAGCTGCATGATGGTCCTCAGCGGGTAATGCAGAAACGAAACAAACGTTTGATGGATTATGTCCGCTACAAAACGCTCAAAGAACGTGGAGATAGGGCAGACAAAAAGACCACAGAGCAAGGGGAACAATTCATAGCTTTAAATGTGACTCTTAAAGAGGAGCTGCCAAAGCTTATTGCCCTAACTGGTAAACTGACAGATGCGTGTCTGCATAACTTCGTGGAGCTTCAGAAAACTTGGCTAAGCCTCATACAAAAGCGACTGGGGTACATTTTTGAGCGGACGACAATCTACGGCCTGGAGCAAATTCAGTCCGATTGGGCAGCAGACTTCTCGTTTAGCGATGCTCAAGTCTTGTCATTGGGTATATGCAACGGTTCTATTCTTGCAGACGTTGCCAACGTTGCTGGGTACAATTCACCCTCAGCTTCAGCTTCCAATGGGGCAGATGGGTCGTCATCATCTCGCAGACCGTCAACAGTAAACAGCGCGAGCATTCAAAATGCCAATACCAATCGAGCAGCTTCCTTTGAGCAAAGCAATTCCCCGAAAATCTCCCATGAATTTGGCACCAGCACACCCGGTAGCTTCATACATTCTCCACCGGCCGATAACCTTATCCAGCAATACAATGCCTCTCAGGTATTCTCGAATGCACGAATGCGCACCAACTCTGGCTTTTCTGGCCGCGCGTCGGGCGTATCCGATGCGTCGAACGTGCCTGTCCTACCGTCCATGCCAGCGCTAGTCAACTCGGGTAATGGGACCAACACCAGCCGATCCTCCGACGCGACTCCGTCACTACCGCAACTCTCTCTCGATACCCCAATGCTGCAAGATTTCCTCGCCGATCCACTAATGGCATTACATAACCGCGGCACCCCTCCTGACCCAGCCCTTCACCCCTCCTCGCCCATTGTTGCACGATCGGGCAGCTTCTTTTCGTCTGCAATGCCCATGAACGAGTCGCCGCGGACGGCGACTCCAATACCTGACGACGAGGAACAAAATGACCCAGCTATTCTATTTCCCGTGGCGAGCTTGTTTGAATTTAACATCGACCGCGCGCGTCGGGAGGCCGGGTATCCCTACCTGACATACGTTGCAGGGGAGATATTCGATGTCATTGGCGAGAAGGGTGATCTGTGGCTTGCGCGGAATCAGGACGATCCGACGCGTCAAGTAGGATGGATATGGACCAAGCATTTTTCGAAACTTGCTGGATAACTTATTTTTGCCGATAGAAAATAGAAGATGATTATTTTCGTCTTCTATCTTAGATTGTATGGGGTTGACCCATCACAGCCCTCATGTCAAGGATTTTTCAATTTCTTTTTCTTTTCTTTTTTATTGGCTTCTGGGTTGTCATATGGGGATATAATGATTTAATCACGCTCAACGCAGCCATATTTATTGTTTCGTTTTTAATTCATTTATTTGTCATGACTTTTTTTTTTTCCTTTCCTATACCTCATTCTTCCGTCACATCTTTTCAGCTTTCCTTTTTTGTCTAGCTCACACTTCATACCCATTCCTTTTGTCACCTCGCTATCTCAGAACCATGTCTACATTGTTATGGCTCTTTTTGTCCACATTTTTCTTCTCTTTTACATTTACACTCCTATCGTGTATCAATGCAGGATTTCCCTTGGCGCTGTCATATCGTGTAGGAGTCTTGCCTTAGCGTCGTGCAACTTCTGTATTGACCTGTATTTAATGTGTAAGCCGATCTTCCTATTCTACAAATAAAACAATTCCTGCTCGTTTGTGGACTGGGAATATATTCTATTTGTTCCTTCTAATTTTCTAACTTCTCTGTCTTGTCCTTTTTTTTTCAGTCTCATCCCTGCAGCTGTTGTCTCCCTCCAATAAGGAATGCGACGGGATGGAATACGATTCCGTAGATCAGATATGCTTTGTTAGAATGCATAGGATGAAGGAAGTGGATTGCCTTTGTTCTGAGAGAGTATATGACACATTATTCAATGTACAGAGCGGAAGCGAAGCTGTTTCAATGCCATAGCTATTATTTCATATATTAGTTACTTAATAATACCTTGAAAAATGAACCACGTTTGCTTCAAGTTTGTGGGATTTGCTTCTGAAATCCTAACTATGTGAGTGGGGGATTTTGTAACGTTGAAAGACAAGTTTTTACCCCCAGAGCAGAAGGGCTGGGCAGGTGTTGATTATCTGTATTCATATTCATATTGCGTCTCTTAACTATTCGTTCTCCGATATCGCATCCGTTCTTCTCCACTTGTCTCCCTTGCTCCACTCCAATGCTTGCTCCTTGTTGCTTGCAGAATCGACCGCCACGGTTCGTTGTCTTGGCATCCACGGTAGTGATTCTTCAGACTCACCTCGACTCCATCTCGTGCGCGGTACGGAATACACATAACAAACACCCGGCTTCCCGGCTTCCCCCTCTCCTCGACATGATGCGGCGATACTCGATTCGTCTCCATATACGGAGTAGTTAATACTTAATTCCCTCTAGATCCTCCGCGCGCCCAATCCATACCGTTTCAAATACTGAAATACTGCACCTCCCGCCACTTCTCATCCCCCCCCTCCATTTTTTCCCGCCACAAACACGCCAACCATCAAGACGAGTCCCCTTTGTGGGGGATATCCCATCTTCCCCATCAGAAGTAATTTGTCCGTCTGGTCACTGCCGTCGTCGTTCCTCTCCCTCCCCTTTTCCTCGACGCCTTGTCCGGAAGCGGAAGCGGAAGCGGAATCAGAATACAATTACAAACAGATATATCTGCATTGTGTAGCTCGCGCTGGAGAGAGATACACAGCTAGTTGTATAACGCGAGGGGGTCTGCCGCATTCTAGAACAGATTAACCCACTGGCACTGAAAATGGGCGAGGGCGGCTTCAACCGCTTCAAAGATAAGATGAGGGGCCGATTTAACAATTCGGTACGCTGTTTTTATTTCCTTCATATATATTGCATTTCTGATTTGGTCTGGTTTGGAATACGTTGCATATCCTCCTTGCCTATGTTCCGCACAGTTAGCTACTTGTACGGAGCCAGAACGGAGCCAGATAGCTGGTTGAAGCTTCTGGTTGTTGTTGCTCCCGTGCCGTTGAGCCGGCTTCGGTACGCAGGCTCACCCCTGCCTGGTTCCGCGTAGTCGGATTGCCGATTTTCTCTTTCGGAACTCTCTTTGCTTGACTTATTTGTGTATCCGTTGAAGGGGTTTTGTCTTTCATTGTGCTGTTCGCATTCCCATTCTCATTCTCGTTCTCGTTCTACCCCCCATCATTGCATCATCATCACTCTGTCGGTTGGTGTTGGTGCTAGTGTTGGTGTTTTGAACCTTGTCTCTTCCCTCTTCTGCTAGCCCTCGGTGGATACTTTCTCTCATCTCTCTTCCTGTGCCTCTGTGTGTATGTTCCAGTTGGTCAATTTAACGCCTCGGCTCTTCTCGGGGTGAAAGCCCACCCACCCTCTACTGTGCCAGTTCAAGCCCTGTCATGACAGGGGTGCTGGAGCAGTTTCATTCCAACGTCATGCTGCTCAACAAGTTCTGGAATAGCATTTCGGCTATGAGCTACAGTGCTGACTCCTTGCAGTCGAGTCCCGATGATGCATATCTAAGCTGTGCGTACCACTTTGTACCCTCTCCCTACCCTGTCGATTATCTTCGAGGCGTTAGGTATCGCTTGAGTTGGAGTGAATTAAATAACTCGAAACTAATTTTGGTTGTTGACTCGGGAATGTGGTCTAGACCATGACGTCCGCTGTTCGTACTTTTCCTTCCATATTCCAAGATTCTTCTGCCCTTCCAGTCATCTTGCCTAAGATACTCATCACTAATTGGTGACATGCTGTAGTAACTAACGAGGACGTACATACCCTTAAGACGGATTGGCTGACAGATAATGTACGCTCTGCAAGTATCTGTGCTATTTTTGCTACGTCTTCTACTTTTCCTTCCTACCTTTGACAAACTGACTAGTTGAAACTTTGTAGGTTATTGCGTTCTGGGAAGAGTACGGTTATTTTATTCCAAATTAAACCATGTTGATTTAATATGCAGCGGTTTACCCCTTTGTCTAGGTATCTTGAACGTGAATTCCTCATAAACTATCAATCTGCCAACATTGTCCTGCTCCGTCCAAGCATGTCTTTTATGCTGCTTCAGACCCCAGATCCCCGTACGCTCCGCGAAGCACTACCCGACTTCACAAAGACCAGTCACGTCTTCCTCCCGATCAACGACTGCCGCAATGTCAACGAGGCCGAAGGCGGCACTCACTGGTCTCTCCTGCTCGTATCCGTCGTTGATGGCGTTGCCTTCCACTATGACTCACTCCCGCCTGGAAACTGCGAGGAAGCACTACAAGCCACGCTGAAGCTGTCTCACCTCCTAAACAGGCAGCTATGCTACATCAACCTCGACGACTCGCCGGTCCAGGAGAACAGCAGTGACTGCGGCGTCTTCGTATGCCTGCACATGCGCCAGCTGCTCCTGAAACGGCTGTTGATGGCCAACTCGTCGGAAAAAATCAGCATGAGCCTCGGAGGCACCAGAGTGAATGCGAGCAACGGGCGCAAGGAGATAGTGCGCATCATCGAGCGGCTCAGGAAGAAGGGAGAACGGCGAAGATCGTATGTGCATACTTTTTCCATTCATTTCTCTTGTCAGTCTATGTCTGTAGTTTGCCGCTGCTTGTCATAGCCCTTGCCTTTCCCATTTTCTTGCTCTTTTATTTTCCGGATTCGACCTCTCTCCCAGAGTCAGAACTAGCATCTGTGGCTGCAAAGATTAGCCTGTTCAACCTACATCATCACCGACATGCCACCCCTTACAGGCGTGCATCTTCAAATCAAAGCATTCGTACTAAGGCTTGTCCGGGAATATCAACGGGCAACCTAATGCCTTTTGATTTCCGAAATGACATTCTGTTATCTTAATAGGTTAAGCGTAAATACCAATATAAACTCTGACGGTACACCCGATAACCACCGCGAGAAGAGATCGAGAAGCCCGCCGCGAATAGAATGATCTGTCCTATGATTATCTTCTTTCCGATCGTTGCTCTGGAAGTTTTTTCGCTCTCCATCCTTTCCGTGTTGGTAATTATGATGTAACGATATTGGTAACCTGCTATGCTTACAATGATCGGTAATTGACCAGATTCTATTTTTTAGGTTTTTTTTTTTTTTTTTTTTTTTTTTTTCGGGCGCTGTTTCGGGTGAGGGTAATTTCGGAAGGCTTTTCTGAAGAAAAGGGAATCAGTTAACATTAATTTTAATTATTTAATTTTGAGGGGGTCCGGAGTCTGCTTGGGTATTTTACTGGATAGCGATGGCGTGGGGCTATTTCCTTCCCTTTTTGTTTTACTGCGATAATTACTAGTATTCTTCTTCCTTTTCTTTGTACTCTAGGGAATACCAACTTTTGTTTGGTGGCGCTTGAGCATTCAATGAATCCATCATTTGTCTTCCTCTCTCTCCGCTATCGGATAGATATGTACTGTACAATACACATATAGTACAAGGGAAACAGCTAAAGGCCTTGTCCAAAACGTATTCCCCAGGTAATATCTAATCACACCTGTTCCAAAAAGAAAGTAGCATTGCCCAACCTTTGTAAGAGGCGAGTCCGGCAGATGCTGAACATGGTTCTCCTGGGGATATGAAGGAGTTCAGTCTAATAGTTTGTTATGTTCCATGTTCCCTCGCTCTCCATTTGAGTCATCTAGATGTTAGATGATGTCAAACGCAAAGACGTTTGAGCAGAGCCAGTTTAAAACATGGACGCCCATTAAATTGAAGTCCTAAAGTGCTGAAGGAGTCAAATCCCACCTAGGTCTCATAACTGAAATGAGATATTGTATATTCCCTTTCCTCTGAGGATGGCATGTCTGGAAGGTATCTAGATGGACAAAGAATGGGAAGGGTCCAAATAAGGAGGAGGATTTGAAGGTAGAAGAGTTTAGATCGAATTCACATTGGACTCTAGTCCTTTCTAAAAATCTAAATATAAATACAAATGTGTAAGTGCAAGAGTATCATATCGCAAGTTTAAGGTAAGGTACCAGGGCAAATCAAATCGTTTGCATATGCACGGTATCGAGAGAGAATATCGGTTTGCTTGAGGTCGCGAACTTGCGACGCAAAGGCGTAGTGAGCAGCGAGAGCTCCCGTTGCGACGAGTACGGCTATAGAAATAAAGTAAATATAAAAATAAAAACAACCTCGGTATAGGCAAAAAAAAAAAAAATAAAATAAAATTAAAAATAAAATAAAAATAAAATAAAAAAGTGAGGCGAGGGGCACTCACGTCTACGTAGCTGCTTGGGAATTAGCTTCGTCAGCATCCCTTCATCGTCAATGAGCGGAAGATGATCGAGGACGTCCCTCCCCCAGATAGCAATGAAATTGATACTGATCCGTTCGAAGCCCATATCCCACACACCGCGACGCGCGAAGTCATAAACATCTGTTGCGTTTTGTTCCAGAGACTCTAGGAAGGAGAAATGTTGTTGCGCTGCAAGGGACCATTTGCCTTGGTTTTCTGCCCAAGGGCTACAGAGCGCATGGTGGATAGGCGTACGGTATATAGCAGTTCTATTCTCGTTGTGCACAGGCAGCCATCGATGGTTTGGATACGGCGCATTGCCAACTTCGAGTGGGAACTGGAAGCCGTCTGGGCCTTCCCAGTAGGGAAGTTCTGAGGCGCGCCAAGTTGGTTTTCGAAGGGAAGTAACATCGCTGTTTGTGATGTTAAAAGGCGGCGTCAATTCGGGAAGGTAGGGTCTTATGGCTCCGGTGCGGTAGTGGTGATAGGGCAAAGGGGCGCCGTTGATGACGTTTGCTGAAACAAGGTACGAGTGGTCATTTTCGAGCTTTAGAGAGACCAACTTGGGTATCGCATTGTCGTCGATGTAAATAATATCATCGTCCAATTTGATATAAAGGGTGTCGGGATCGGTCACGGTGCTATCCCATATTTTCGAGTATCCTTTTTTCTGCGCGTCGATCGAAATTTTTCTGTAAAGGGGAGAAGTGGGCACCAGCTTATCAAGCCAATTTAAATCGCCCTGGTTTTCCGTGTTGGGAGCCCAAAGCACCTCATCGATCCATCCCCCGTTTGTTACTAGATTGCGCTTGAGGTAACAGTCTAAAATCTCCACTCGATCTGGGCGTCCATAGAATATCACGGCGACAATCCTGAAGTCCGTAGGTTTGGTGGAGCTCGCTTTGGTAGGCTGAGGTGGAGCAGGCCGAGACGAGAACGCAAAAGCAGAAGGGGTAGCGGGGAAGGAGTTGTTGTTAGCGATATTCCCTTTTCCCAATGGATCCAGAGTTCGATCCACTTGGGGATTTGCGAATGGAGAAGGTAGATGCTGGAAAGTAGGAGGGTGATAAAATAATACAAAACAAACTGGAAGGAGAATTAGAAGCACCAAAATAATACTGAGTTTTAATGAACGTCGGACATATAAACAAGCGGCAGTGCAACAGGTGGATATCGACAAGAGAACAACATTTATGAAAGAAGAGGTAGGTGTTCGGACATCGTTGTTTTGTTCAAACATGAGTCCGGTTTCGAAAGCAATGGAGAAAGAAACGTCGGCGGGATGAAATTCTTTACCACATTATTATCAACACAAATGTCGACATTGATCATCTGGAGAGCAAGACCATCCAAAAAAGAAAAAGAAAGAAGAAAGAAGAGGGGGAGAGAGCCAGCGAGCAACAAGTCTATGAGGAAAAGTGAAGGCTCACTAATCCGATCCTTTTTTTACGATGCCCACATTCAACGCCTTCAAGGTCTCGAGACTTGCCAACTCAATATGGGCGCCCGAGTGGAGCACTGGCATTTTGCGGCGAGGGAAAACATGAGAAACTGCGCATCTCTTATTGGAGGGGCGATTCCAAATTTGCTCTAAATCCCATATTTGGTTACGAGCTTGCAGTTCGTTCGATACGAAGGTTCCCCTAACAAGCCGTCCTTGTCTCAGGACTGATTGCATCCTTCTGGCCCAGAGCTGAAATCCTCCTGTCAGGAGCGGATTCCCTGGCATCCACTTCAAGATAATGGCGAAGCCCTAGCGAAGCCCGAGCAAGTTAGAGTTGAGCTGGGTTCAAAATTTCTCAACGGGATTCGCATCGGAAACAAGGGCGTCATGACTTGGCAAAACTTAGACGAATCGAAGGGGCAGCGCTTCCCAAAGGCTTGCCGAATGCACTCGGACTTGTTAGCTTTTTCCGAATGGAGTTGAATTTTGCGCCCATTAAACAAGCCCCCTGCGCTAGATGGTTAACCCGCACCAGACGGGAGATGGCATCCTGTCTGAGCAGGACTGAGCCACCCTGAGTGGGAGATATTTCTTCCATCATGACTCATTGAGTGTTTTACCCGCTGCACAAATCAACCTCCGGTGCTGATGGAATTTGGAAAGGTTCATTTGCGTTGGCATCCCTGTCGCCCCCATAGAAATCCATGGGACCGCACCTATTTAACCCTCCACCTCCATCAATTTGTCGTTTTCTGAGTGATATCTTATTGCCGAGTCTTCAGCCACTCCCAGGTCTTCTCCAACCTCAGAACCTTGGAGTTGAATGCCGATTTGTGGAGTCTCAATTTGAGATTTGAAAAGGAATGGATGGATTAGTTGAGCTCGACTTTATTCAGTAACTGTTGTCTGCACAGAGGTTGGGATTTAATTAAGCACAGATCTTCAAGGGTCCTGAAACAATCCCTGATTACTGCGTAAGGGTCCAGAAAATCCAAAATGGCGATCGCGGAACTGCCTCTGTCTTGAATCTTGAATCTTGAGCTTATGGGGCCCCACTGTCCATGCTTCTAGGGCAAGTGTCCTTCTAGACATTTCATCGTCGAATTCCAACTGCTCACTGAGGGTGTGGTTGACCTTTCCAGAAAAGCAGGATAGCATGGCAACCAAGTCACATCATCTTTATTCCTATGCTGTCTCCGCCTGAATAATGGCATTTGTCAATCAGCCCGTTCCAGCGCATTTTCTCATCTTCCATTGTTTGCATTGCTTCCATTGCTTTGGGAAGGTTGATTTAAGGTGGTTAGCGTAAGATTTTGGTGTCCGATACCCCGGTCGATTCTAATGAGGTCCGCTTATCCACCAAAACAAATGAACAACCACGAGTTATGCGTATGGGTTCTGGTTGGGAAAGCTATAAGGCGGTCTGGATTGTCCATGAGCCGTATTGCCAGGATCTCAATGGATGGAGGTGGCCATTTGGGGACTTCTAGTAGATTCTGATCGTCTGGAAGCCCGGAAGGCTGCATGAAAAGCCGAATGTTGTCCAATCAGCAAATATTTCTGCTTCTATGTGCCTACATGGGGCTAAATACGAACCTTAGGAACGTGGAGCCATCAAGTGCAGAATTGATGTGTGTTTCGATGTCAGTGTCACGCACCCCTGGGCCATTTGCTGTTCAAACTGTTCGTAACCTGGTAGATCTGAGATCCTGACTTCTACGATTAATTTTCATTTAGGTACAGAATACTATCCTCAGAGGACAACATGTACTCTAGAGAGGGATCTGTTGAACCACATCGGCGTCGCATCATGCTCGCTCGATCCCTACAATTGTCCCACAGCTCAAAGCATGCGGCTCAAATGCACTGGCGGAATGGGGATTTCTATTTTCCAGGATGTATTCATGCCTAGGGAATGATCCTGCACTCATTTTGCCCTCCTATGCTCCGTACCTTAACTCCAGTCCTTACTGAGCGGAGGGCCAATGTCCCTCCCCCCAATCAGGCACCTTAACAGCTTGGAGCATTGAAAATTCATATACACAGAGGAGATGAAGGCGCTCCATGCATCTAATCACAATCATTACTATTCTATGTCGCTGATGAGTGAAATGGCCGTGATTTTCGTTTTGTCAACCGCAATATCAATAACCGATATTCTGCGACAAATCTCGTGCCTTTTTGGCGATTGAGGCTCGCTCCACCGAATTCCGCCTCGAAATTGGTATCTGAGAGACCCCCATTGCGAGTTCTTCGATATCCGAAATTCCCCATGCAAGATACAATCGGCTTACCCAGTAATACAGGGATATAAAAGGTGCTCATACAACCTCCCGTACGGTCGATACTCATATTTCCCCATACAAACTGCGCCCGAAAATGTGGGAGGCAGCTTCCGCAGACCACGGCAGATCGGGTAAACAAATATGACCTGCCCTATGCAGCCACCATCCCTTCCAAAATGGATGGTAAACTCATGCGGAGGGAAGCCACCACAGCGACTTTCAGGCCATCGATTGCCGTGTTTGGCAACCCATGAGCCCCGAAGGCAGCTTCCTTCGCTGGGCGTGAGAAGGCAGTATAAAAGCCGGCATCCCGCCTGCGCATCTTCCACTTCCTTTCTCTCCTCTCTCTCCATCTCTCTGGGTTCTCCTCCTGTTCCCCTTTTTATATCACGTGAACACTATTGCCCTAATCCGTATACCACCCCCCTTGACCTTGACCATCTAACCCTTATAGAGATTCATCTCCCACGTACACTCCTCTGCTTTTTGTTTTCATTTTGTGTTTGTCCTTTTGTTTTTGTGTGCTTGTATTTTCATTTCTTTTTCTGCTTTTGTGTTTTATCTTTGCCTTTTGTTGTTCTTCTCTTTCTTGATACGCAGGAGTACTAGTAGTTAGTTAGCCATGACAGGCTTACATATTCCAGGTATCCCTAGTCAGGCCGCAAGGAAGCACAATGGACCAGTCTTTAAGACCTTCCCCAAGCGCCTAACCTACAGAGAGGTAGGCATACCGCACTCATCCTCGATCTCTGCTGGTTCTTCTGCTTCCTCTTCCTCTTCCACTTATCCTCGTTGTTGCTCTTATACCTCTTCTTCTATTGAGTCTGTTCCTCGTGTTTTTTCCCCGTTCCCGTCCTCAATCTGGTGATGTTTCCCGCCCTTGTGCGCCTATCCGTCCTTCTCGATACTCCACTCTTTCGAATGCTCAGCACCTTTTGTCGCCTCGCTCCTCCCGGTCGATTTCGACCACTTTCTCTCACCCTGGCCTCCTTGTTATTCCCCGCACCCGCCCCCGAGCAGGTGATGGCCCCATGCCCTCTTCTCGATATTCCACTCGTTCTTCCCCTCCTCCCCGCCCTTCTGGTCCTATCCCCTGGTCCCGAGGCCCCCTTCTTTCAACCCACCAATACCTCCGCCGCGCCGTCGGTTCTCCTCCTTCTAACCACTATTCAGCTCCGGTCATTTCTCCTACAGATTCCACTCTCTCAAAATGCCGGCACCTTTATATCTCCACTCGTTCATCTAGGACGACTTCTAGCAATTCCACTTGTTCTGATTCATTCCCCTCCACTCGTTGTTTTATATCCGCTGCCCTCAAAGCAGCTATCTCACGCTCCTCACCAGATCCCCAAGCCCCTCCTGTTTCTGTTTCTGTCTCTGCTGGTTCATCTTCCACTGCTTCCACGCGTTCTGGTCCGCTCCTTTCTTCTCCTCCTATCCCGACTGTTCGCTTGGCTCCCCAGGGAATCGTCTTGCTGCCGCCCTCGAAGTCGCTCGCCGCCGTCAACACGCGCAGCTGTGTTCTAACGGTTCGAGTGCTTCGACATCTGTTTCTTCTAGCCATGGATCCAAAGATAGAAGTGCCCGAACTCGTGCCTATTCTCGGCAAAACGCTAAGTCGTCTAGATCAGTCAAGTTCGGAGGTTCCACGGTGCACGGAGTTGATCGATGGATTCAACCAGGGCTACATGGTCAGCGAGATTCCCCGACGGTCGTCGGCAAATTGGTAGGCTGGTCTGTCACTCCCCTGGAAAAACCGGAGGACGACGAATGCTGTAAGTATACGACTTACTAGGGCGGCCAAGTAAGCCAACTCACTCACACTCATTTACCCGGAACCCCATGTGGACGCTCTTTTTGCTCCTGGAACTCCCTCGCTGATCCTTCCATCTCGGTCCCGGCTGGACTTGTTTTCGAAGAGTTCGACAGAAGAAGAACAAAAATGAGAGAACGTGGAAAGTTCCATCTTTGATTTGAAACTGCGCTCATCTCCTCCCCAACAAATCCAAACCGAAAAAAAAAAAAAAAAAAAAAAAAAAAAAAAAAAAAACAAAAAGTTAAAAGCATCTTGAAGTATCTCGGACGACCAATCCACTCCTGCTTTGCCATTCTTTTAGCAATATTAAATAAAGTTGCATTTTCCTCTATGTTTTTTCCTCGTGTTCTGTTCCTTTTTTTTCTTTGCCTGTTTGTCCTTTGCTCTGTTGTTTCCATTTTACCTCCCCTTCCACCTTTCTAGCACGACTTCCTGGGCGGGCGGGTTGGGGGAAGTCAAGAGGTAGGTCGTTTTTGATATTGCTGACCGGGCAGGGTATTTAACGTATACAAATGGTGGTTGTGGCTTTTGCATATCTCGGTATATTACATCAACCCTCTACCTACTTCAAGACTTTTTGCTAACTTGTTTATCTGGCAGGTTGTAAACGCGATAGATTGCCAGGATTTC